AGACTTCTGAGTATTGATAAAAATAAGCGACAGAAAATATAAACATTGATTAATGACTAATGATTAATGAAACTATTAAGCAAAAATAAAACTAGAATAATGAGCTTGGCCATAATATCAAATGCAAACATAATTACACTTTTATTAGTATTGGGATGTGTTGTGTGTGTAACTCGACGTCCTAGCGATCATACCCGTAGGCCAACGGGAAAAGTTGAGACAAATAGGTTTGGTTATGACAAACCTATTGGTAATCAATGGGATGACCACTTGAATTCAACTCAACTAATAGATCACACTAATAATGTTAGAAATTCAAATGAATTGCTAACTAGTGATATTAAAACTTATAATTGGACCACAACTACTATTGCTTTGTTTCGCAGGTATGGCATAATATTTTTGATAACTTTAACTAGCTTTATTATGTGCACATTTAAATGAAATTTTCGCAATTATTTACTTTTGATAGCTATTCATTACAATTGAAGGGCAATATTAATGATCATAATTTATTCAATAAGACTAATATCTCGAAAGCAATAGAAAAAGAAGAAATGCTTTTATATGTGGTTAACAAACATCGTGTCAACCAATTTGGGAAATGGATAATGCCTGTTGTATTTTGTCTGTTAGATTTAATATTTGATGTTTAGTCCCATATTAATTTTAGTATTATTATCATATTTAAATATTCTATAATTTATTTTTGAACTATTAAGTTAGAAACAAAATTCTGTATGATCAAAATTATAAACCTTTTTAAAAGTATAAATACAGTGTATAACTTTAACATTACTTATATTAAATGTAATGAGTTGATAATATTTAACATTACTGTTAATTCAAATTTAAACACCTCTAAGAAACTAATAGATTATGTTTTCCTTTAAAGCATATTTGATAAATATTTTAAGGAAATACTTAACACAATAAATGTAAAATACAACTCTTATTTGTCATTATATTTGAAAATTAAATTATGAAAATAAGTGGAAATTCTTCTCAAATAAAATGTATTCATTTCATAAGACTTGAGTGGATGTCTTGTTTGCTGTGTATTGCGATAATGTATTGTAAAAATATTGAATTTTAAAGGATTATTGAGCTTGATATAATTAAAATATTGATCAATAAAAATGAATTCAATCAAATATAACTTTACTGCAAGTAATTTCGATGATAAAGTTGCTATCATTACAGGTATTTATAAAAAATAAATAATTTATTGAGATTTAATGCAATTATTTATACGAAGGGTCGAGTTCAGGAATGGGTGCGGGAACTGCCGTTCATTTTGCTAAATTGGGTGCAAAAGTAGTGGTGAACGGAAGGGATGCGAAAAGAGTGGCCGCTGTGGCACACGAGTGCCGACAAGTGGCTAAAACTTCTGCAAATGTGTTGGCAGTTGTGACTGATCTTCAGGACGATAAACACGTTAAAGATTTGGTACTGAAAACTATCGACACATTTGGCAAAATTGATATACTTGTCAACTGCGCCGGTATTGTGGGTCGGAGTGGTGTAATGGACCCGGAATACCAGCAATTGTTTGACCGAATAGTTCGCGTGAATCTACGGAGTGTTGTGTCACTCATATCACTGGTTGTGCCATATCTGGAGGCCAGCAAAGGGTGTATTGTCAACGTATCCAGTATTTCAGCACAAACTCCGGTCTGACTAATGATTTGCAATTTTATTGTATTTTAATTGAAAATGTATAAACAGTGGAGAAGATCGTGGACAGCATATGGCTTAACCAAATGTGCCCTGGATAATTTGACCAAATGCATGGCCATGGAGTTGGGACCAAAAGGCATTCGTGTCAACTCTATTCTGTAAGCAATACAAACATAAATTGAAATTCAAACATATTAAAATAATAAGTTTTATGATTTTAGACCGGGTATTATCTTAACCCCAATGATCGGTGAATCATCGTTTAGTGATGAACAGGCTATAATGTATTGCGAGTCTATGTACCCATTGAGAAGACCTGGCCATGTCGAGGACATTGTAAAGGTTATAGACTTTTTGGCGTCAGATAACTCCAGTTTTATAACCGGTATATCAATACCCATCGATGGTGGATCCATCGTTGGTCCCAGGTCAAGACTTTAAAAATCTAAAAATTAGTTTATAATACACATATTATGATAAAAATTTATGATGAAACAAATGATAAACATTTCCTGTAAATGATTTAATTATAAAAAATGTCATAACAATAACTTTTTAAACAGAAGGAAATATTAAATATAAATATAAAGGTTTTTTGCATTTAAGTTTACCTTACGTGTAACTTCTTAAAATAAATTTTAATTCTGTCTACACTTTAAGAAATTTTTCATGTAGTTTTATTAATAAACTTACAGTTTCTCATTTTATTTAAACGAGTGGCATATCATATCATAAACTAATCATGATCAGAAATAAAAAACTAATTTATAAGTTTGGGGATAGAGTGGCACTCATTACTGGTTTGTGTTGTATATTATTGCATAAGTTATATAAATTAAATTAATTTCTATTTTCATTAAAATTGATGGTAAGGCTCGAGTGCAGGTGTGGGCAAGAAATTTGCCCTCTCTTTGGCCAAAGTAGGCTTCAAATTGGTTATCACCGGAAGAGATGAGAAGAAAATCAAAGAAGTGGCTGAAGAGTGCCGTCAATTGTCTAAAGAGAAAGTACTTGAAATCAAAGCGGATCTTCTGAATGATACAGAAGTAGAGAAACTGATCCAAAAGACGATTGAAGAGTTTGGACGTCTGGATGTGTTGGCCAATTGCGTCCAGATAACAGTCCCCTGTTCTATAAGCGATGCCAATATTATGGATACTTTTGAACGGGTCTTCAATACAAACGTGCGCTCACTTGTGGTCATAACACGACTGGCTATCCCACACCTACTGTCCACTAAAGGTGCGGTCCTTACGCTGACTTCGGACTCTGGATTACTGCCCGTAAGTACAGTACTTACAACTAAATTGAGAGAAAGAGATATACAATTAATGTTCAATCGATTATGATCTAAAAGTCAAATAATTGAAATTAAATTTTAATTTATATTATTTGAGAATTTTAACTTTAAATCTAATTGACTGTTAAATTTTTATTGTTTTATACTTTAAAATTGTTTGAATATTGATTAATGTTAAATTATTTGATCAGTATGAATCTGAATTCCCATTTTGTGTGTCTGAATCTGCGGTCGACTATTTCACTAAAGGGTTGGCATCTGATATGAAACGGCAAGGAATTACTGTTCTCTCGCTTAAGTAAGCAGTTAATTGTTTTATACATACATTATTTGCACCAAATTAATTAATATAGCTAAATTATCTATCTAATTTTTATCATTCAGTTCATCACTGGTTATGAGCTCCGAGTTTGAAAGAAATCCGTGGTTTAGTACAGCTCTTTGTTCACGACTATAAAGATTAATAATAAAATCTTTCACATGAAAATCAAAATATCCACAATTTTATAGAGTATGGAATTTAGTTAATTTTGATTAAGATGTATAAGTATTTTTAATGTTAATAAAAATATTTAAATATTAGAAATACAGTAATAGTTTTCTATGAGTATAAATTATTTTCTCAACTGTTTTTGAAATTTCTAAACAAGAAAACAAATTAAATAAATTTATAAAACTTGATGTACTGAACTGTAATGATATTACCGGTAAAACACAATTACTTGATTTAAAACATCTATAAAACAATATAAATTGATTTCAATGTGCTCTCTATTATCGAGTGAGGGATCTCTTTGGTGAGTCTTGTTGTCAGCATTTTATGGGTAAATCTCACAAATATTGAGAAGTGCTATAAATTTTCATTTCAAAAATAGCAATCTCTTAAAAGTAATACCAATTTAGACTCCCTTATCAAACATGGGTTATGGTATTAGTGTAACAGTATATCAAATGAAATCACAAGAAATTGTGTCATTTGTTTAGCTTATATTTGATTCTCTAAGC